CTATGGCAGGGGTTGGAGCTGGATGAGCTTGAAGGTCCCTTCCAATACAAAACGTTCCATGATTCTATGATTCATCATATGCCGGGATGGGGCTTGGCAGTGACACAGATGTGGTGCCTCCCCAGCAAGCACAGCACCTCTGAGACTGGGCAGCCTGCATGGCATGGCAGAGCATGGCACAGCCCTACAGGTATGGTACTGCCAAGCCTGGCCAGACCACTTGGCACAGCACAGCATGGCACAGGACTGCAGAGATGGCAGTGCTAAGTCTGGGCAGCACACTGGGTTTGGCACATCGTGTCAGGGCATGGCACAGCACATTTAGATTGGATCTAAGGAGGAAATTCTTTCCTGTTAGGGTAGTGAGGCACTGGAATGGGTTGCCCAGGGAGGTTGTGAATGCTCCATCCCTGGCAGTGTTCAAGGCCAGGTTGGACGAGGCCTTGGGTAATATGGTTTAGAGCGAGGTGTCCCTGCCCATGGCAGGGGGGTTGGAACTGGATGGTCCTTTCCAACCCTAACTATTCTATGATTCTATGATTCTATGATTCTTTGATCCCTGCAGGGAAGGCCCTGCTGAGCCCAGAGAGCTGGCATGGCACAGCCCTAGCACAGCCATGTCGCAGCCTTGGCATGCTGGTTGGCACTGCACAGCCCCAGCACCATGATCCTGCACACTTTTGCTCCTCAAGGAGCTCCAGGACCTTGCCCACAGCCAAGTGTCACTTCCAGCTGGGTACAGTGCTGGAGGTGGGCTCTGCCAAACCAGTTATCCAAGGGAAGCCCAGTGACTGGGACAGCCGCATCCCTGTGCAGGACACAATGCAATGTGCACACTGCACAACAAGGACACAGCCAAGGCTGCTCCAGCCTTCCCTCTAGTGTGGCCACTGTGGGAAGCTCAGCACAGCCTGGTGATCGTGCCACCACGATGGGAGCTCTGCCCACCGCAGGGTGGCAAAGGAGCTCTGCTGTAACCCTGGTGAGTGGGTCTGCCAAGTGTGTGCAAGTCATGTGTGGATGCTCGGTGATCCTGTAGCTTCCAACAAGAGCTGCCTGCAGGGATTGTGTTTAAAGTGCTGGCTGATTGGGGTAATCATGGGAGCACGGAGTGCATTAGCTGTGAAGGTTTATAAAGGGAAATTAAAATAAAATTGGATGTGACAGAAAAGTACATGGAAAATTAGTATAAGAATATGAATATTTATGGCTGTGGGAGCACGCACTGGGAAAGTGCTCCTCTGTGCTCCCTGACACCCCCGGGCCTCGGTTTCAGCCTGGTCCCATGGGCAGCACCCGGCTGTGGGGCCAGGTGGTGGGGCTGGACGTGCTGCAGTGGGCACACCACCCCTGTGTCACCACCCACTTGCCTTCAGGGTGACTTTGGGGTTGATGGAGGCTGTGCCACCCCCTCGCATCCCTGGGGGTGCCCACGGGGCTGGTGGTGGCACTGGTGCAGGGCCACATCAGTCCTTCCGCTGCTGTGATGGCACAATGGCACGGGCACAGATTGGAGCAAGCTGCTCTAGTGGAAGGTGTCCTTGCCCGTGGCCGGGGTTGGAACTGGGTGAGCTTTAAGGTCCCTTGCAACCCAAACCAGTCCACGATTCTATGAGAGGCACAGCTCAGGAGCATCGCTGGTGGCAGAGAGGAGGGGGTTGGCACCGTGCAGTGCTGGCACACGCTGAGGCTGCTCATGCAAGAATGAGGGCACTAGGACAGGGCTGAGGCTTGCCAGGATGGCAGGGCACAGCGCTCCTCCTGCCCGCTGGGACTGTGCCCACCGGGATGAGCTCCGACAGGGATGCCCCGGCAGGAGCATGTTAAAGATGCCACCACCCTGCTGGGGACCACAAGCTTCCCCCCAGCCCTCCCACTGCAGGGGGCTGTACACAGCATCCCTGCCCGCCCTGCCTGGGCCCGGCGCTGGACCCAGGAGCAGCCATCCCCCTGTCCCCTCCCGCTGTCACACTTAGAAGCCATTAAAATAATTGAATGCTTTAAATATTCAGCGCTCGGCTTAAATATTCATCAGCAAAGTTATTCTGATTGCTAAACTGCATCAGCCAGGCTGGGGAACGGTTCCTCTCCACAGAGCATCCCCCACCCTGTGCGCAGCCCTGAGCGCCACGACCCGCACGTGGGCTTGTACGCACACATGAATGTACACACGTGTATGCACCGATGTGCATGTATGCACACGTGTATGTTCTGCACCTCTGCACAGGAATGCATATGCATGCACACAGGGAGAAGGATGCGTCCACACACACTCCCAGAGCGGGTGGCTGTGTGTACTGGGAGCACTGGAAGCACATTTAGGTGGTTGTAGGAAGCACATTTAGGGTGGTTTGTACCTCCTCTTAGCTGTGCCCTGCTGCAGAGGATGGAGGGAGGCTCCCAGCCTATCCCTGCCTGTCCTGGCACCCGCAGCCTATATCCCACTCCAGGACCACTCTAGGGTTGGTCCCAGCATCCCACTATCTGCATCGCCCAGGCTCCTGACATGATCCAGGGCACGGCAGCACTCACCTCTACTGAAAACATGTGAAACCTGCTGTGTGATGTGCACACGGTGCTGGTCCTTGAGCTTGTGCTTGCATTATTTACCTGTTTCTCCAAGGGGGAAGGACAGATTAAAGACTGAATCATAACAAAATATTAGTGAGAGACTGCCTGAAGCTGAGCTCGTTGCCTGGGAAGGTTTTGCTTTGAACCTCCCTTGCCCACTCTGTGGTACCCCATGGATACCCCAACCCTCACTGTGCTGCCAAGCCATGGCATGCTGGGGACAGGCAGCAGAGAGGTGCCTTTGAACACAAAAGGAGGGTTTGTTCTCATCTCTGCAGGGATGATCCACCCAGCTGGGCCTGTCAATAGCCCCAGCTTTATTCTTCCTATGTGCCCGCTGCATAATCCCATCCTTCAGGCTGGCTCCTGGTGGGGATGCTCTTGGCCAGTGATGCAGATGTGACACCACACATCACTTGCAGGGTGATGTGCCCAGTCTTGGCCATCCCATCATGCCCTTGCCTCTGCAATACTCCCTTTTACCCTCTGCTGTGTATTTTCCGGGCCCCCAAATACTGACCAGGATGGCCTGAACTGGGGTGCAAAGGAGAAGAGCAGCAATGGAGCATTCCCTCCAAAACTGGGGGTCAAATTGGGATTGGATGGGAACCCCAAGATGGGTAAGAGCTCTGCACTGCACCAGGGCTCTCAAGCTCCTCTCATCTTCTGCTGAGCTTGACAGCACTCTGGTATAATTTCCGATTAGGAGACAAAAGATCATTACTCGACACCTTTGTTCCTGGAACAGAGCAACTCAGCTAAAAGAGCAAGAGGAGGGGAATCAAGAGCTGATATAACCCATGGCTGGGAGCAAAGGATGCCCTGATAAGAGGAAAATAACCTGCCAGTGGCAGGAAAAAACAGAGCCAACCTGCTTTGAAAAGGACTTTCCTTCTTCACTGCCATGCTCCGGGGTGCAGCAGCATCGTGGGAGCCTGTGGAGAGCCCGCACATCCCTTGCCAGGCAGGCACAGCAGTGCCTTCTCCACCTTCCCATCTGCAGAGAGTCCTGCAAGAGGCAAGATCTGAGGTTCATCACCTGCAGGAACCATGGAACGAGTCCATCCCATGGAGCCTCAGAGCCACCAGACCCTCCAGCAAAGGTCTGCAGCCGCCCATCACCTTCCAGAGTGAGGCCAGCCAGCGGTGCTGCATCCACAGCCCTCTCCGTGAGTGTTGTCGGGTGATAAAGAGCTTTTGCCTTTCACACAGGACGCGTTTGCTCCCCGGCACTGGCTGCCAGGGCGGGTATTACACGTGGGTGCTGGTACACAAGAGCATCCCCATGTGCACATGGGTGCTGGCATGTGAGGCGCGCAGAGAGGTGGAAGCAGCCCCGGCAAAGCTCTGCAAACAGCACTGATAAAATTGTTCCTCCAGTACCTAAAGCAGGCTTAGGTTTAAGCAATCTCGCTCCAAAGACGGCTCCTGCATGCATTTCGCAGGCTGGAGCTGCAGCTTTAATCCTTAGGAATCATGTACTTTGCATTGCATTGCCATTCAGATTTGAAGAGGGGGCTCAGTGCTCCCCGTGAAGGGTGGCTGGAGCCTGACTGTGCCGTGGAGCCAAAAGCAGAGCCGGGCTGCCTGCTTCCCTGCACGGCTGCTGAGCACTGGGAAGAGCTGCTGGTTTATCTGATACGGTTTAATCAGCCCTATAATTAGATTAATTTGTTGATTTGATAGCAACCCATTTCTCGCTGTTAGATTTGTTTATGTGTTTTATGCTTCGCTTTGGCAATAAAATAGGAACTGAGGAGGTGGGAAAGTCCCTCCGTGTGCCCATGTTCTGCCCCTGCAGAGTGCCTGGGCTGGAGATGTGTGTCCTGGTGCTCTGTGAGCTCCTCATGTGGGGCAGGAATGGGCAGGGTGGACAGATGAACCTTGGGGGTGCCAGTCTGCAGCAGTAAGGGTGTGTCCCCATGGGGGTGACTGGGATAGGGATGGAGGTGCTTGGGATGGGGATGGAGGTGCCCAGGATGGGGATGGTCCCCATGGCAGGAGGCACCCCATGTGTTGGTCTGGGCTCAGGGGAAGGCTGCAGGCGTTAATTCACCACTGCCTGGGCTCTCTCATAAAAGCCAGCTCTGCTTGCTGGAATGGGTTGTGTTTTGTTTTGATGAATGGACACACAGCTGACCTGAACGTGCTGCACTGTTTCCTCCCTGTGTCAGTAGAGGTCTGTCCAGTCCCATCCCACAAGCCTTTGTGCATCCTAAAGCAGCATCCTCTAAAAGGTTAAAAATAAACTGCAAAAGTTGCTTGTTCGAGGGGAGTAGATGGGCTGCAGTGTGTGCTGTAAAGCAGTCATAGACTGGTTTGGGTTGGAAGGGACCTTAAAGCTCCTCCAGTTCCAGCCCCCTGCCACAGGCAGGGACACCTTCCACTAGAGCAGCTTGCTCCAACCCCAGTCCAACCTGCTCTGAACATCAACCAAGGTGATTGTCAGCATCACCGCCAGACAGGGGCTGCCTGCTCCCTGGTACAGCACCCCTGGCCACCAGCTCAGGGCCACCTCCATGGCAGGTCAATCCTGCACCTTACTGGCAGCCAATGTGGCATCCAGGCTGGAGTCACCATCCTAAAAGGAACGGGTTGAATAATTCACATTGGAAATAACGATTTCAGGGCAGGTATGGGAAGGCAGGCACGGGAAGGCAGGTGAGGAAGGCAGGCAGGGGAAGGAAGGCAAGAGAGACATGGAGCAAGCGTGAGGGGTTGCTGGAGAAGGCAGTTGCGAGGAGCTCTTTGATGGGCAGCTCCTTTGATCAGAGATGTGAATCTAGCCCTCACGTTCTCCCCGTGTGAGCCTGCTGCCTAATTACCAAATGGCAGGGCTGCCTGGAGTCCTCGGCATGTTGCTGTAATAGATTTCACCACGTCCAGCCTGGAGAAGGACATCGATCCTGCCGCAGCCACAGCCTCGTGCTAAACATTGCGTCCCATCGATTTTCCTTTGCTTTTTGCTTTTCTTCCCTTTTCCCTTCTTTCTTTTTTAAAGAAAAAGAAAAAAGAATATTCTTTATTTTCATTAAATCATTAATCAGGGAGAAATCTACATTTTTATCATTTCTATGGCTGGAGAGGAAGAGAGGAAAGTTATATTGCCATAGAAACCGTTCCCTACCATTCTCAGCCTCGGAGCAGTCCCTCTTGTGCTGTCTCTTGTCAAAAGGCGTAATTGTTGCTCCTGATCTTCACTGCTCAATTAGCAGTGATGTCTCCCTTCAAGTTAATTGCTGGAGATGGGAGGAAGTAGGACAAATGTAACCTTTTAGATGAAAAGATCTCTCTCCCCCTTCTTCCCCCCCCTTTCCTTGCTTGTGTGCACTCGGGGCCCTTCTGTAGTGAGATACAGTGGGGGGGAGCCCCACTAGTGGAGCAGGAGTCACCACATGCTCCATCACTCCCACACAGCACCAGGCTGGGGACCCCTCCCCATCTTCCTCATCCTTTTATCCATGGAAGAACCCCCTTTATATCCCCCCCTCTGTTCCCTCAACCTCTTGCATCAGCATCACCGCCAGCTCAGCCTCTCCCCAGTCACCTCCATGCTGATGGTGTCACATCTCCTGGTGCTGGGGCAACCCTCATGGACGCTCCGGGGTTGCTCACGTGGGCTGGTCCCATGCTGCAGCAGCAACAGCACTCGATGGGTTCACAGGGATGGGGTGGCTTTGGCCCAGGAGCAGAGGGACAGCTGCACATGCCCAGAACTAAAAGCTGGTGACACAACAGGGCTGAGCATGGGGATATAGATGGGAAAAGAAGTGTGAGGCTTTTTTCCTGCAGAACTAAACCCCAGAACAGCAGCACAGCTCACAAACGTGTTTGATGGGAGCAGGGACCCTGGTGGGAGGAGAGCTCAGAAACGGTGCTGGGGCAGGGGTTTCAGCCTCGAGGAAAGCCAGACAAGCCAGGCAATACGTTAAGAAGAGAAATGTGGCAGCTGCCTGTACTTTTGTCATCCAAAGAAGAGCCCTTAAACAATGACTGGAGTGTTTGGAAGACACAAATCACCCTAACCAGGCACACGTGGAGAGCACAGACACATGCGGTGATGCCAAGCATGCACAGCAGACTGGATGGGCAGCAGCAGCAGTGGGGATGGGCACCAGGAATCACCCCAAAGCGAGGACAAGACAGCCTGGCCAAGCCTACAGCACAGGACCCCCTCCCCATGGAGCAGCCAATGGAACAAATGAGCTCCTGAAGCTCAGGGCGGTGGTGAAGGGAACGTGGCAGCTGGTGAGCAGTGGTAGATGGAGGGTGCCAGGGCATCCAAAGAGCTGTCTCACAGGCAGGAGATGGATGCAAGGAAAGAGGCTGTCACCACCCATGGGGGACACTGGGGCAAGGGGACACTCCCCAAGGGTTCTCCAGGGTGGAACCCATGTCACTTCCAGCTCTGAAGCTCAGCTGAGAGACACTCACCTCCTTCAGCAAGCCCAGGGCAGCAGCAGACCAAGCTAAACCCCACTCACTATAACCAGCCCTCATTCAAAGCAAAACCTTGCTGCTGCTTAGCAAACCACTTGCAAGGGGATCTTGCTGAGGGGCAGATGGATGCACTGCTCATCCCCACTCCTGCTCTTGGGGTAACACGCAGCTTCAGGCTGGTCCCTAATTGTGTAGACCTGATGGACAGCAAAAAAGTTTGGGAGTGAGGTGCGATGGAAGTCATGAAGCAAGGGGAGCTCTCACCTTGAGATGATGGCAAGGAACATGGGCAGAGCTGCTCACACCTTGAGCAGCGGCAAGAGATGCTAGGAGCCCACAGAATGATGGTCCTGACCATGCCCCTCCGGCTGATCTTCTCCTTCCATTCTGCCAAGTCAGACAGTAATTACTGACTTTCATCTCACGGAGTGGGGATTGGGGCAGCCAATCTCAGGAAGCCAGAACTAGGTTATCCTCCCGCTCCCGTCACTCGCAAGACGCATTGCTGAGCACATCCACCCTCGGTCCCTGCGCAGTGGCAATCTCTACCTCACCCGCCCAAGGCCACTGCGTCTCTACCTGGATGCTGCTGGGCTGAGCTCCAGCACCGTGTGCCCTGGCTCCTTGTGAGCTTGGTTTGCAGGTCTGAGACAAGGACCCACCCCACCACTGTGCATCAGGATCACAGAATTAGGGTTAGAAGAGACCCCTGGGGATCATCTAGGCCAATCCCCCCACCAAGGAGGGCTGTAAATGCTGTCCTGGCCATGCATATGTACCTTCTATGATGCCTGCCATGCTCCTTCTGTAGAGCTTCCGATGCTCTGGGAAGTCTTTAAGCCAAGTGAGGATGAAAAGAAGCATTGCGGGGGGCTGAGCACATGGAGGAACAACTCGAGGATGCTTCCCTGTGTGGATGAGCTCTTCCCTGGCCCCTTGGCTCCGGAAGGCACAGAAGAACAATTGCCAAGCTGGGGGCTCAGCTCCCGCTTCCCTTCCGCTGGAGGCAAACAAGCCCTTAACATTTAAGCAAGTGCCTGTGCTTGTGGAGGCACGCGGGGGGCCGAGTGCTCACTTCAGAGCACCTCGTGACTCAGGTCGGGAGGAAGATGATGGGGAGGAGAGTACCCAAAGGCTGCTCCACTGCGGGAGGTGAGGGCGTCCATCACCCTGGCGCCTGGGCCCCACCGTTAAAGCTCCCCCTGAGCACTGCATGAATGTCAGGTTTACATTTGATTTCCCCTGCGCCAGGTAAGGAGGGGCCAGCAGGCTTGGAGAGGGATCACACGTGGCAGCTTTTAATAGCAACCCGCCCGCCTGTCACTGGCTCCTCATCATTCCTCTTGAAACGGTTGCTAATTACCAACAAGCTGGTGTTTGTGCTCCGGGTGTGACGTTCCCCTCGGCTCCCCCTCCTCCTGCTCTGCACCCAAGCTGTCGCCAGCAACATGGGGGGTTTTGGGGAATGTGGGACTTGCTCCAGACCTGGCTCCTTCTGGAGATGGACCTAAGTGTGGGTGGAAAATGGCTGTATTCTGCTTTCCCCTCCCTTCCCATTTTCAGGGAGGGATGGACCCTCTGGAGGTGTTAAACCTGAGGAGTCAGGGCTTTGGGACCACACAAGCCACCCCCTCCCAGCCTGGTGATGCTCTGCTGGACCAGTGCCACCAGCTCTGCCTGGGCAAGACGTGCACCCCTGTGCCATATCAGTGTGCCCCACGCATTGCCCCTTTAGACCCTTGCCATGGGTCGTGCCCAAGCTCCCTGGACACCAAGACTTGGGTGGTGGCAATGTCAACAGCTTTTGTCTCCCAGCTGCTTCCCTGAGACGTGACACCATTTTCTGCCGTGCTTGAAGAGGCTGGGGAATGGCCAGGGATGGGATGTGATGGGGATCTGCTGTCAGTGATGCTCTGCAGGGACTGGGAGCACCAGTCCTCAGGGGCTCTGATCCCATTGGACACCTTCACACCTCACCCTGTGTTTCGGATCCCTCCTGGAGCAGCATGAGCCATTGGGGGCGGGAAGACAGGATTGGGGAAGGGGCTTCACCCCAACAGCCTGCACCCCAGTGTTACCCAAGCACTGGGTCTGCCCCATGCCAGCCACCCCCTCCCCTACCGCGGCAGCGAGCGCTCCAGCATCACCTCATTGCATGCAGTGCCTGGCGAGGGGCTGGAGGGGGCGATGTCTGCTGAGGTCAATTCCAATCATTCCCAATGCAGGGATGCCATTTGGGACCCACTTAAGGTGGAAGACCCCTGCAAAAGGTTCTGGTCCACAGCACCCGCAGCAGCTCCCTGCTCCCCTCCATGTCCCAGCTGCATACAGAACCCCATGGTTCTCCAGTGGGTTACTACACATGGAGTCTCAACGCTCACGAATGCTCCTTCTAGCCCAGTGTAATCTTCTTCCCTCCGGCACCAGAGATGCTGATGGGGTGGGAAAGGGGGGGAAGCTATATGGGACATCCCCAGCTTTACCCTCCCACCTCCTGAACGTGGTTTCTGTGTTGGAAAGGGACCAAAGCAGGTGCTTTGCTGCCTGGGGAGCCCACCCAGCGCGGGGAGAGGCACCCCAAGGCACGCAGCTCCGGCTGCCACCCGGGTGAGTGACAGCTCCCAGCCCCCCGGCCCACCTCCCCCCTTGTCAATCCAACAGGGAATTATTTATCCTGACAATAGCAATTGTCTGCATGGGCCCTTCCCCCTCCCCAGCACCTACCCCGACAAAGGAAATCATCCTGATATGAAAGGGAAAATTAAATTACCCCAATAAAGACTTAGTGCAGCTTTAATGACATCACCAGACTCAGGCGCTAATTAGCCGAGTACAAAGGGAGCTAAATGTGAAAACGTGCATTTCTGTTCCCTCTTCTCCTGTCGGAGAGCGTCGGGAGCGGGAGCAGGCATGGCAGGGGGAGATGCTCCCACCCGGCCCCGTGCCAGGCTGGCTGCTGCCCGCGATGCCTGGGGAAAGAGATTCCCAAGGCTGGGAGGTGCATGGAGCAGCTGGAGCCCGTTTGGATCCAAGCAGGGATCACTGCGGTGCCCATGCCTTGGATCCTGCTCCCGGCCATACCTGGACACTGTGCTGTGCCCCTGTGCCATGGGCGTGCAGCTGCATGGTGCGTGCCTTGCCTCTGCACAGTGTCTGCATCTGAGCGCCTCGCATGGTACTGAGCTGCATGGCTCACACCTCACACAGTGAGTGTGCACTGCACACACACACAGTACTGCACTGCACACACACACTGCACAGCACACACACACTGCACTCCACACACACACTGCACTGCACTGCACACACTGCACTGCACAGCTCACACACTGCACTGCACTGCACACACTGCAGTGCACAGCTCACACACACTGTACTGCATACACACACTGCACTGTACAGCTTGCACCTCCCACATGAGCATGCACTGCACACACACACTGTACTGCACTGCACACACACATGCACTGTACTGCAGACACACACTGCACTGCACTGCACACACACTGTATGCACTGCATACACTGCACAGCTCACACCTCCCACATGAGTGCGCACTGCACACACACACTGTACTGCACTGCACACACTGCACTGCACAGCTCACACCTCCCTCATGAGCATGCACTGCACACACACACTGAACTGCACTGCACACACACACACTGCACTTCATACACACACTGCGCTCGCACCTCCCACATGAGCATGCACTGCGCACACACACCACACACACACTGTATGCACTGCATACACACTATGCTGCACAGCTCACACTTCCCATGAGTGTGCACTGTGCACACACACTTCACTGCACAGCTCACACCTCCCACATGAGCATGACCTGCATACACACACTGCACTGCAGAGATCACCGTTTTGCAGTGAGTGTGCACTGCACATGCACACACTGCACAGCTCAGACCTCCCACATGAGCATGACCTGCACACACACACTGCACTGCAGAGATCACCGTTTTGCAGTGAGTGTGCACTGCACACACACACCTCACCGCACTGCACAGCCCACACCTCCTGCAATGAGCATGCACTGCACACGCCTCACTGCACTGAAGAGCCTCACTGCACTGAAGAGCTCACACCTTGCATAGTGAGCATTCACTGGCACACAAACACCTCACTGCACTGCACAACTCACAACTCCCACCTGAGCATGCACTTCACACACACACTGCACTGCAGAGCTCACACTTACACTGTGTTTGTGCACTGCACACGCACACACTGCACTGCACGGCTCACACCTCCTACAGTGAATGTGCACTGTGCACACCCTTCACCTCACTGCACTGCACAACTCACAACTCCCACCTGAGCATGCACTTCACACACACACTGCACTGCAGAGCTCACACTTACACTGTTTGTGCACTGCACACACACACACTGCACTGCACGGCTCACACCTCCTACAGTGAATGT